GCCTCTATCAAAGGGGCACAGCCACAGAGGTTAACCTGGCTTTTGAGTGTGGTTCAGACCACCTTCCTATTCTTACTCGCCTGCCATGCTTGAGAGGCTCAACCGAGGGGCAGCCTCCTCTCAAGCTTAGCACTCTCGACCTAAAAGCCTTTAAGACAGCTCTAGAAGGAAAGCTAGAAGCACAATGGCTATACGAGATTCTAGAACAGCCAGACATGGAATCGCTAGAGGCCCTAGCAGGATTTATTATTGAATGCGTACATAGTGCGTATGTCAGTAGTGCTAAGCGAGGCCTTGGGCATGGGATCGGACATCCATGGTGGAATGAGGGGTGTCAGTCAGCGGCCACCGAGGCTAGAAAAGCTCGAAGGCTCGGAGATAGCCCTGAGGCTGCGAAAGATCTTCAGAGGGCTCTGAGATATGAGATCCGGAAGGCGAAGGGAGAGCATTTCCGCAACCTAATTGACAAAGCTACAAAGAGCAAGGATGTTTTTAAAATATGCTATATCAAGGGTGCCTTTGACGCAGTACTCCCCGGCCGCCTAATCAAGAGACTACGAGAGCAAGGATGGCCATATAGCTTGGTAGCATGGGCTACCTCCTTCTTGTCTAACAGATCTGTTAAAGTAAAGCTCGACGGAGAAATAGGAGTCTCTACTCCTCTTCAATGTGGTCTGCCCCAGGGCTCACCTATCTCGCCTATCCTCTTCATGCTCTACATCCAGCCACTCTTCACCTCAGGGGTAGGCTCCTTCCCAGTGTTACAAAGGTTCGGCTATGCGGACGACATTGGATTACTTGCTTCAGGGCCCACGAAGGCAGGGAATATCAAGGCACTCGCAGAACAGGTAGCTAAGGCCTTGGAGTGGGGAACAGAGGAGGCCATTACCTTCGACGCTGAGAAGTCTGAACTTATCCAATTTCCTCGTAAGAGAAAGCAAAAAGGGAGGGGTATACGTTTGCCTCCCTCAATTGTAGTAGGAAACAGGACAATAGAATCAACACAAGAGCTCCGGTGGCTTGGCATTTTCTTTGATCCCCGCCTTTCCTTCCATAGCCATGTTAAGAGAATGGCTAGTAAGGCTACGCTAGCAGCGACTGCTCTAAAAGGGACCACAAACACAACAAGAGGCTCTCCCTCCTACCTGCTGAAACAGGCCACCACAGCTTGCATTCTATCAGTCGCTTACTTTGGAAGCGAGACCTGGTTCCCTGGACGAGCCAGGGCTAAGGGAGGAGGGAATACAAACAACCGAATTGGCCGTCACCTAACTCTACTAGATAGAGTGGTAGCCAAGTGTGCTAGGATCATCCTCCCAGTATACAAGACCACTCCCACCTCAGTACTCCTTATGGAATCGGGCCTCCTAGCCTCTGAAATTGCTCTTATAACAAGAAGCGAAGCACTAGAAGCTAGGATCAGACGACTAGACCCTGCCCACCCGCTGAAATGATGTGTTAATAACCCTAGCTCGAAAGCTAGGCTCACTTACCGCTCTCACAGAGCCCTCCCTCCCTCTGAAGAGATTGACCCCATTCAAGACCCTCCGTGGAATAGAGGGTTCAACCGACAAGCCCGCCTACTGGAGGTAGCGGGACCTGACCCTGGTGGAGAAAAGAGCTCTCTTAAGGCCAAATTCCTTGACTTCCTAGCTACTGTCCCACCTACCGACCTAGTTGTGTTTACCGACGGCTCCCGCCTGGACGACAAAGGTACTGGTGGTGGCGTATGTCTTACAAGAGGAGGGGCTATTCTCGACACTAAGATCTTTTCCTTTGGCAAGGCGTTAGATATATGATGCAGAGGCTAGAGCTGCTTTACATGGCCGAGAACTAGCCCTAGACTCCCCTTTCTGGTCTTTGGCTAGAAAGTGCTGGATCTGCCTCGACAACCTTGAAGCTACACAACAGTTAACCTACCGGTCCTGTGGCACCTCGCAAGAAACCTTTAACAAGGTCAACTAATTAACTCAATCTTACCCTGGGAAAATACGAACAAGGTGGTGCTCTAGCCACATAGGTATCCTAGGCAATGAGATTGCGGATAAAGCTGCAGGGAAAGCGGCGCGGACACCCCCCTCTGGTCCCCTCCCTCTACTCTGTACGGCCACGCTTCAGAGAGAGGTAAAGGAGCTAGGGATCAGGCTAGCAAGAAACCTCTGGAACACTACACTCCCAGTTCTATATAAGGACCTAGGCCTCTGTACCTGGTTCTTGAAGCCCAAGTCTCTCCAGTTACCAAGAGAGGTCCTCGCTCGCTTAATCGCTGCTCGTTCTGGAAACGGAGACTTTACTGCCTACCATCTTCGCTTCTTTCACTTCGACGCACTACTCAATTCAGGGAACTGTAAGTGTAGGAAGGCCAAGACCCAGTTCCACCTACTCTTTTGCAAGCTAGCAAACAACAANTCTTTCACTTCGACGCGCTACTCAATTCAGGGAACTGTAAGTGTAGGAAGGCCAAGACCCAGTTCCACCTACTCTTTTGCAAGCTAGCAAACAACAAAGCCCCTAAGCTATTAGCAAAGGCTAAGAAGAACCCTCAACTGCTCTTTGGATCTCACTGCGAGGAGCTATTTAGCCAGGTCTACTTTAAGACCGGATTCTACACTAAAATCTGTCTCTCTAGATAGACAGGCCTTCTTTTATTTCTCTTTTCTTTTTTCCTTTTATTAAATATCTCCTTTGTTGTTACCCTGGTTCTAGAACTAATTAAGGATAAGAGCTGTTCCGAAAGTGGAGCTTCTCTCTAAACTGTCTCTTGTAAATTAGCTCTTTCCGTTTAATCCCCCTGTAGCCTAGGGCGCCTCCCTAGCGTCATTTGTCCTATTTTGGGACTCTTTAGGACCTAGCCCACGCGAGCTAGAATCCGCTTGACGTTAAATAGAAATAAATAAATAAATAAAGTAACCAACAACCAGAAGGTTGATGTAGAAGCCCAGCAAATTTGTTGAAGGTCCTGAGATATACCTAGCTAAAGAAGTATGAAACAACAATATTCTGAGTTGTGTTACAGTAGCATACTGTCACTGACTTAGTATGCGTTTTTGAAACCCACACACAGGATTGAAACCAATAGACTTGGGACTTACACGAAGGCAGAAGCTGGTATTATGTGAGTTGATATTCATCGGAAGCACGATTGAGGTGATTTGTAGATAGGCGCTTTAGAGCAGCTTGACTGATCTGATTTAAACTTTCAGTGGAGACCTACCTACCTCCTTCTAGGAGCCCATTCAAGTTGGTGAACCAGCGAACTGACGGAGTAAGGAGGAGAAAATGTTGGGAGAAGATACGTTCAGAATAGAACGTGGATGGTAGCTTTGATTTGTAAGGACAGCAATGTCTAAGACACAGCACGTGTAAGTAGACTTTGAGTTCTAGTAGAAAAGAACTGTGAATCCACCAGCCCATCGTTATAACACTCCTCGCATCACTATTGAAGGTCAAAGTATATCTAGTGTTTTCTGTAATGAAAACTATATTCTTTGACTTCTTTTGATATTCTAAGACACATAACACGATGTAAAATTAGTACTTTTTGCTTTGTCGTGTTGCGGTTTACCAGGTGCTGGGAAAAGTTTTCCATCTACAAATGTTCTACCACAAGATAAAAGGTATGCGGAAGCTCCAAGAGGCTACCACAGGATCAAACTGTGAATATTCCATTAAACATATCGGCGAAAAATAACTCTGTGGTGGCTGGGATGGCTCTACTGAACAACGGTACACACCAATTAAACCCCTTAAATTAGCCGAGCCACCCACATCGCTTCTGCAAAACCTCCGATTGCCTAGCCCCACTTTCAACCCTTCATCTTTTTCATCAACACCAACCTTTGCATCAATGATCCAAAAACCGAACACCGCGACTTGTTCGCAGTCAAACAGGCTCATTAAATCTACCCAAAAGTCACGTGTGACTCTGGCGTTGCACAACGCGCTCGCTAACTGATAACAAAATTGTTGTGAAGCTCTTCTGCTGTCAATCAGCACCGCGTCACGAAGACAGTATTTGGAAATCTCAAGAGCCCAGACAAACCTGTGGAGTTCTCAGAACTCAGACAGTAAGTTCGATCTCTCAATTTAATGTGTGCTATAGACTAATTGACCACGAAGAAATGTTTTCCTTCAACCAATCCTCGACGGCTCCTCTCTACAAGCCAACTCGACAACCCCGAGGACCGCCCGCCAACCCAGGAGCCGTCAACTTCCTGCGTGGAATCCAATCTCCTTCTTCCTCCTCTGCCTGTCTTTGCATTGGAGGCTGGGGAGGAGACACGACAGGTGCTGGCAGCAGAGTCCACACCTCGTCCGGATCCATCGCGGGAAGCCTCGCCGCCTTGACAATCACCGACACCTCAACGTTCCGACCGAATGCGATGGTGCTTCAAGAGCGCAGCGGGATCTCTCGACGTGGCATCCAGCTAGAACACCTCATTCCCAGCCATTCGGAGTACCTTGGTGATACAAGGTCCAAGTCCTATAAGGCACAGGTAAATCATCTCGCAGACCACCTCAACTGTGCTCTATACCTCACAGATATCCCCTTGACCATTACATTTGACAAAGTCTTCGATGCCATCGACTGCGGAACCGTCGTTGCAATCGACATCAAGGAACCTGCTGGCATCTACACCTTGAAGGCCGCAGACGTAATTTTCACGAGACCGGAATCCGCCGCAGCCTTCCTTGCCAAGATCGAAAAGGGCATCATTATCGACGGCCAGAGACTCTCAGCCCGGTACAACAAGTTTGGCCAGCCTCTCAATACCACGGACCAGACCCGAGTTCTCTTCATCGATGGACCCGACGAGATGATGCAGTGGAATCGATGGTTCGCCTACTTCGACCGCTACTGTGTCTGGCAAGCCAGCAAGTTCAATAACATCTATCGCAAGAATGGCCGTGCCATGTTTGAGATTGAATTTGTTCGCATTGTTGGACAAGCCCAAACTATCAAGCAGGCAATTGAAAAGGATCCAGAGCTCCGTGAGTCGGTAGTCGTCGGATTTTGTCCAGATCCATGTGATGCACGCAATTAGGCCGGAGACTTGCAGCTTGTGTCGGATGATGGAAGAATAGCACAATGATTTGTATGCATGATGGGCGAATAGGGAGTCGTAACTTGACTAGCTCTGCGCTCACTACCATAAGGAGACAAAAGGATTGTTGTTGACCATTGGGGTTTGTGCTGGACGTTTGGAGAAGCACTGCTATGTGCATCGGGAATACCCTTGGGAAGGCTTTCTGTTAGCAAGAAGCATGGGATTGGTGCAAGCTTGTAGCAATTGATTTCACCTTTCATCTCAAACTTTTTGAAGAAACTGCTTTAGTGACATTGACCACGTTGGCAATCAAACCATGATATACAAGATTGCAAATGTTTGCCTTTTCCACAGGAATCCAATTGATATCTATAATCTATTTATATTGCCTGTCTTTCTAAATAATTAAGTCGTAAGACACTCGTTGGGCCCTCCTGTAATTTAAAGCTCTGAACATTACTCTGCCAGGTCTTTTGCCAATCGGAGTGATAGGTTGGGTGGCTGGTATGTGACCAAGTTACAAAACTTGCGGCATCCTTCTCCAAAGTATGAATTCACGCTTTGAGCAAGAAAGAAGTTCTTGATGGCGGGCCACATTCTTTCCAGATTGACCTATCAAAGGTTATTATTTGCTACCGCTTATTATTTCCCATAGCAATGACTCAGAAATAGAAGTAGGAAGAAAAGTGGATAAAGCAACACCCATGTCCGGGGTGTGGCTATTGACAACACCCCCGATTAGGGAACTCCGGAGCTGCTACATACCCAGGCCAAGTGGAAGTGAATTTTCAAAAGGCTGTTATTTTGGAGTTACCAGGTAGACACGAAGAGTCATTTTGTACTGTGTTTTGCCGACTATAGCCGACCATGGTTTCTGTATCTTCAGTGTTAGCCCAAAACAATTCAAAATATTCTCTCAACCCAACCTCCCACCAGACCAACTTCCTCGCCAAAACACACCAGTGTACCTTGTACCTCTTCTCCTTCTTTGACTTCTACTCATTCTGAAGGAATAATCGACGACTCAAAGACTCCCTCGTTACTGCTAGCAACATACTGCTAAACTGTGAGTAGTCCTTACTTCTGACGTGTGCACCTACAAAACACGCTGACTAAAAGCTACAGATATAATGCAGAATAATAACATATCTCTGCATTCGCGTGGGTGCCAAAATATGTTCACGAGCCCATACACATACCAAGATGAGCACATCAAGAAGGAAACAGTCGGTTCTCATCTGAAGTCAAAGCCCATCATACTCGTCTTGCTCAAGGAGTGGTTGGAAGAGAACAAGCTTCCACTCCCTCAATACACCCGTCCTCGTTCCTACGATACTCCTGGCAAAATGGGCAAGGTATCGCAAATAGAGAGTTACTTGAGTACCGCAACCTTCGAGCGAATGGATCGCGAGTGCGCTCAAAGAGACCCATCTGGTGCTATCGATCTTTCGGGTAAGTAGTAGCTATTGTTTCCTTTCAATGTATTTTGGAATATCACTGACCGCCCACAAGTCCTTGACCTTCGTTCTCGGACCTCTTCAAGCGCGATGAGCTCTGAGACCAAGGGAAATGACAATATCGAAGCCCAAACTGGTCAACACTCTTCTAACGAATGGAGCTCCCCGACAAACCCGGTCAAATCATTCCCTGCACCCGACGGCATTGAGGTTCACAAGGGAAGACACGCTGTTGCGAGACCTGGAATCGTTCCCTTTGCGGATCCTTTCGAATATACCAAGAGCCAAAACGGTGAAGCGAAACGCCACGGATTTCCGCCATTCTTTCCAAGTTCTGGCGCTCCTCTTGGATCTGGAGGGTTTTCTTATAAATTGCTCAACGATGGCCGTCGACCAAATGGCATAGGCTTCGGGTATCCACCTAGATTTCAACGCTCTGCCGATCACCCGGAGACGAAGTTGACACTTCGCGGACGAGTGCCCCCAAGACAAGCATCCCAAATTCCCGAAACACCTCCAACTGCGCCCCATCAACTCGATCAATGTACTCGATTGCGCCCCTCAGATATGATTTGGAGAGAACATGGATTGATGGCACCAAAGGAACATCCTATTGGCGAGAATCACGATATTCCAGACGAGGAAAATTGCAGTTTATGGATTACAAAGGTACCCGCAACTGTCACGGAACGAGACTTCTTCGAATTGATCACATGTGGTGCGGTTCACACCCTACACCTTTATCCACCAACTTCCGATATCGATACCAAGGGTGCGAAGTTGATTTTCAAAGAGCCTTCCAGCGCAGCCAAATTCATGCAGGACCACGCTCAGAATCCCGTACATCTTCATGGACATGGTATCACCATCGAGTACAACCGTAATGGTGTTCGTCGATGCGAAGAGGAGAAGACCAGAGTCCTCCGCATCCAAGGGCCTAGAAATGAGATGCTGACTGAGGCATTCTGGAATGATTTCTTCCATTCTTTTTGCCGCTGCAAATTTGACTTTGCTTATCCCCCATCGAAAATTCCAGGAGAGGCTATCATGGACATCAGATTCTCTCGGATTGTCGGTCAGTCACAGATGGCCATGCTAGGCTTTCATCGAGGCCACACTCGTTATCCAAAGCTTCGGGTATCCTACGGTCCTGACCCATGTGACGGATCCCAAATTCTAGCTTTGTAGCTGGCACTGAAAGCAATACCTTAAGAATTGGTCCATAGACGTGTGTATGTGGAGAGGAAGCATTCTTGAATTGAGGAATCCAAGAATAGTCTTTTCAAGTAGGTGTTGAGGAGGAGCGTTCTTTTGTAATCTCTTTTTGATACCCTTGATAGTTGTGTTATGGCCAATATGAGAAGTGGCTGGGCGTTTCCCTTATTGTTCTTTATCCTGATAGTAATGAAATATCAATAAAACTTTGTTCTTTTTCAGAGAGGTAGAACTGTGATTTGTGACGAGTATGACATGCATAGTAAGCAAAAATGAGAGAAAGTGCACTGTTTCCAAACGACAGATGAGCAAAGAAGCAAAAGAAATAACGGCAACATTTAGCGAGAAACACAAAAGTCTGCTATATATACTGTCTCATCAAGAACAGGAATCGTAAACATCACATACCTGTATTTTTCATCTGAACAGAGTTCTAGAAACTAAAGGGCCCCACGAGTGTGCTTACACTCCACAAGTGAATCCATTCAGGTGTTTTCTCCATGCTTCCACGAAATAATTACCGCAAGTAACCGGTCTTGGCATCTCTGGTTGACCCATCTCGTTTCCTGGTTTCTTACTTGTTACTTGTTAGTAGTAGGCACAACTCTGCATCATTGCAAGACTTGCCAAAATCCCCACAACAAACCACCCCTCTGTTATTGCAAAAGCCGACACTTTGCAACAATACAAACTCCCTCTCCCACCCAGGCCATAATTCTCATACATCGAGAATGGCAGGCCCTTATATCTTTCAAGCTCCCAAAAGTCCCTCGGGGCACGCGCAAACAAGTTTCCCTTTTGCGACAGAAGCAACTTTCACAACACCACGACAGACATTCATGACTTCGAACCGAGCGAGTCAAAATCAGGCTAGAAACCATGAGCAGATATATACAAGTGGCATGAATACAGTGCGAAGACGACCCTTGAATCTCGCCCCAATCACCACGAATCCAGATGCATTGCGGCGATTGCGGAACTCGAGATCCAGACAAGAGCCACTGACGGGATCGACTTCGAGATCTTCCCTGGATACAGGAAGCATCTCTGACGTGTCTCCTCGCACCAGTACCGGTGACTCGTCTTTAGGCGATCACTTGAACCAAGAACCCGCGGATTCGTTAGCTCGTCGAGCAAACAATAGAACAGGCAAGTATTCTGCATACCGAGAAGTCATAAAATGGCTAACTCTCGATAGAGCCTCGAGGTTACCAGAACCACCAGGAAAATTCCGCGAGTGGTTATGATTGCCAAACCATCCGTCGCAGTGATGGTACAAAGGAATTATTTGAGACGGCACCAAACGTGAGATACAGTCGACAACAATCGAGATGGGCGGACCTTTTTCATACCCAAAGGGCAAGCCCGAATCGAGGCCACGAGCAGGAAAACGCACATACTATGCCAGTAGCACCAGCCCGTTATCGCATTACGGACAGAATGTTAAGTCCCACAGCTGTATCCCCACAACGTCGTGGTACAGTATCGAGACTGGAGGATCTCTCAGAAGTCCAACATGTGAGAGGATTTGAAACCTTGAGACCACGCATGGGACAGACCTCCACACGCAGCGCAATCGACATGCAACATTTCGAGGAAGCTGCCACCGCGCACACCACAAACAGTTTTCCAGGTCCATTGTCGACAAACATGGACTTTGATAACAACATCATGCCGATGAACCCCCGTTCGGCTCCCTTCCCTCGCGGTTACAATAATGAAACGATTGCGGATTACACTTTGTATAGCCGTGGTAATCCTGATATCCGCCAGGGAAGATTGCGCCATACAATTGGAGAGGATGATCAGATGATCAGCAGATTTGAGAATGCCACTGCTCCATTTCATCAACCATCGTATGGAATGGCAATGACTCCTCAAAACCCACAACCAAAACAACAAGCCAACCCATGGGATAGTATGGTTATGTGCCAGCCGGCACTCAATCCATCGAATATGCTGTTAAGAAGACAAGGCGTATTGCCGCCAGTGCCAGCTGGAAGCATTCAGGGCCCTCGAAGCTTGCATCATGGGGGACAGCTTAGCGGTGGACCCGAGGAAGAAGAGGATAGAGTTCCGGATAACGAGAACTGCTCCCTGTGGATTACCAACATGGAACCCTCTATTACTTCACGTGAGTTTTTCCAAATGGTCAGATGCGGCGGCGTCTATGCTCTCCACATCTATCCTCCAACAGGAGAGCACAGAACAGCAGCAGCCAAGTTGATCTTCAAGAGACCATCGAGCGCAGCCATCTTCTTGCAACATGCAAGCTCCCCAGCCGGCCTACATCCTCATAACCGAAGACTGAAAGTGATGTATAACCGAAACGGTGTTCGTGAATACTCTGGAGACAAGACTCGTGTCCTTCGTATTATGGGACCCAGTCATGAAATGATCTTCGGTGTTTGGGATGCATATTTCAAGAACCTTTGCGTTTTCGAATACGACGAGGTAGTCTTTCCCGAATGCCATATGCAAGGCCAATCTATTATCGAGTTCCGTTTCATGAGAATCGACGCTCAGGCCCAGATGATCCAGAAGGAGCTCGTCGATAACCCTCAGCTGCAGAGGTTCAATGCTTACTTCAGTCCTGACCCTTGTGGACGTTAAGCAATGAGCGTAACCAAGAGGGGCCAAGCTATCTGCTTGAGCATGAAAGAGAGTCGAGTTGAGATGTAAGGTGGATATCCAATAATTGCCGAGGGAGAATAGTTCCGAATAACATGGATGGAAAAAAACTTTTCAGGTCAATCTGATGTTCTTCGGAGCGTCCTAGATGAGATTGGAGGTTGAGTCGGATGGATGGATTGGGAAACAGGGTTGGACACCGAGGGATAGCGATATCCTTTCCAGGAACCAGGAACTTTCTTTTCTTCTTTTGTAAACACACCAATTTGCGCCTCTCAAAATAGTTAGTTACTTCTCAAAAGAAAATCTTTATCCCCAGAATAATATTCGTGTATCTAAGGAGTCATCTCTGAGTGTTTGGAAGGCAACTGAGCAACCAACATATTCATAGATGGTGTTGATTGACCCGGGGCACCGAGAAGAGGGGTTCGGAAATACAGAATAAGCTCCAGGAAAACGTGAATGAGAAATTAAAATCGGAAATTTAGACAGACAATAGAGACACTTCAGCACTACAAGACTGCATCCTATCCAGTAAGTGGTTGTCAAAGACATTACAAGACGGGCAAATACAAATTCTGGCAGTGCATGGGGGTAATTGTAGATAGGAGAGTAATTTCCGGACCCTTCCTTACCTTGTCATCAATGCAGCACCTCCTTCAACTTCATCTTTTTATTCACTTTATTTATATAGTAAACTCCATAAATCATTGCCCTGGAAAAAGAATAACTCTTCGGCTCCAGTATTACAACCTCTGAAAGCGGAAGGGAAAAAAATATCTTTTTTGGAATGACGTAAAAAACTTGAAGCTCCAAGCTAAATTTCAGAACTTGAAGGAATAGCCGGAAACGAGTCGTGGAATATGGAAAATGGCGCAAATAGCCTAACCACCGGACTTACAGGACATACCAAGGAAGAAACGGGTCACCCGGCCCTCACTTGATAGGTTCCGAGTATAAAATATTTCCTAGTCACCATAAGTCCTCTGACGCTTCGCCTGTGAAAAGACCAACTCTAGTGAATTTTATGAATCAAAATGTGGAATTCAGGGAAGTGGGGCAGAGGTGGCTGGCGAATCCCGTGGGAAATCAGATTTAGCGAGATAGAAAGAATTCAAATCTGTACCCACCATTTCCCCTAGAACTATCTTCTTCAACAAAAAACCTCCAAGTTTCTGACCCCTACATTCAAAACACCGAGCAACTGAGGAGCTTTGGACCTCAAAAGCCCCTTCAGGAATATTGTGGAGATCGCCCGCGCTCTTTTACCTGCTCGTCGGACCACAACTTCCAGTGAAGGCAAGATGGCCCCAGACGATGAGACCCATCCGCCACCTATTGTTCAACCTCGAGAAGTATCTCGATGGGCTAACACAAAATTGTTTCGTTCTGATGAGTCAACCCTTCAAAGAGCTAAAGCTTCGTCGCCCTTGGATGATACCCGGCCATCTGAAGAACTCCCAGCAAATCTAATTCCTCAACTTCCTCCCCCAATACAATCCCGTCAAAGCAATCTTCTTGCATTGGGACAGGAGAGATTGGGTGGCATGGCCGATTTCCAACAACGCCCCGCACACCGTCCCACACACTCTGCTACACTTCAAATGGCAGACCATCCCAGCGCAAGCACGCAACGCGAGCGACGTACCTCCCAATTACCAGAAAATGTGGGAGTCCGCCACCAAATGCACCATTCAAATGTTCACTATGTGCAATGGCCTGCAACTATGACCTCTGGTCGTCGAGCATCGACTGGAAATTGGCGAAGCGAGGTACAACAAGAGCCACGTATGAACCATCTTCCCCCCGATTGACAACACTGGTAACATCTGTATGCTAGACACGCATGCCGTTCATCAAAGAGTTCAGCCCATATCACATGACATACTTCCTATGTCCCCCTTCTTTCCATTGCCATATACGCCAACTGAAGGTCAATTGCCAAGAAGACGTAGCCACGATGTGGAGGGAACAGTTGGAGGTCAACCAAGTTATGCGACTGCTCTAAAGCACAATGCATCGGCCCAGTCTCTGCTACCTATGGGACATCACGGTCGTGGAGTAGAATGGCACCCAATTGGCTGGTCCGAGAAGCAAGCATGGTAAAGCAATTCCTTAGCCTAGCGAAGATATGCTGACTGAATGATAGGCCTGCACTTGGAGCCGCGGAAAAATATTCATCCCAGCGCAACGAGCCTCTCCGAGCACATCATCGAAACCCAAGTGACAAGCCCCTCCTGAGAGTTGAGACTTCCATGAAATCCGGAGGCTACAAGTCTGGTAGTAGCTCAGGTAGCGCAAGCAGTGACAACAGTGGCCGGAAGATTGATCTTGGTGGCTTTAAACCTTCCCGTATGAAAGAGGAACAACGTGGAATTATTGCTGCTCCCACCGGTTCCAACTATCTAGGAAAAAAACAGAGTCGACAACAATCCCCACGCAACAAAGATGACCCAAATGAAGACAATTGTGCATTGTGGCTTACAGATCTTCCTACAGATCTCACACTTCGTGACTTCCTTGCTCTCGTCAATACAGGAGAAGTCTTTGCGACCGTATTTTCCCAACCAAAGCCACCAACTTGGACCCAAGCAGTCAAGTTGGTATTCAAAGCCCACGAAGCAGCCTCTCGATTTTTGGGACGTGTTCAAAGCTCTCAAGGTATCGTTTTAAACGGAATTCGAATGGAGGGAACATGGAATCGAAACTGGTATCCCGAAGACAAGAGCGACAAGACCAGAGTTTTGCAGATTGAGTGTCCAATTGAATTGACTTCAGACTTTTGGCATTCATACTTCAACGAATGTGTCATTTACCAAGTCGAAGAAGAGCTCGAGATGACCTGTGACGATTCGGAGAAGCACATCCTCGAATTTCGATTTGCTCGCATTGATGGCCAGTCAGAGGCTTTATACCAAGCAATTTCGAAGAATCCAAAGTTCCATGGTATCCGCTACAGATATGCAGCAGATCCGTGCAATCCCACTGCGGGCCAAAGACAAAATTGATGCTTCCATATTTGATGAACGATTCTAAATCTATGACGGAAGTGAGTCTGTCAGCGAGGTTCAATCGCATATTTTGAAACAGGTATGAAGTATACATTTTCTCGGATGTTGACCATTTTGGAAGACAACTTGAAAAGAAGTACATGGTGTAGCAAATTTTGAAATAAATTTCAAAATAAGGAAAAGAAAGAAAAAGAGAAAACATTCGACATCAGCAGAAGAGATGAGGTTTCAGAAAAAGGGATTCAAGATGTTAATCTTTTTGAAAGAAAATCTTGCAAATGAAAAGGGAAAAGGGTGAAGGAAATCTGATTACAAAGGTCCAAGATGTTAACCTTCTAGAAAGACAATCTTGAATAGGAAAAAAAAGGGTTATCAGGCGGGGAAAATCGGATTTTAAGACTTAGGATGTTGATCTTCTCAATAAGAAAATCTTGAGCATTTTTGACAGGCAGCCCAGGTGAAGCAGTCTTTTGTGGTTTGTGGAATTTGGCCTTGTGTTACCAAGGATCGCCAACATGCTTCATAGCAGGAATTCAGCCTCAGGGGAATATTAAGATCTTGTACTTACAGATTGAGGGGACATCAAGTGAACCACTCAATCATCGCACGTTTGTATTTGTGTATGGATTCGCTGCTACCAGAGGGTAGCAAGGCAGCCTTCCTCTACTTCACATACTTCCGTATTCGTCCCAGGATATATGTATTTCATTTTGTAGTTTTGATATTGCTTCGTCGCTGGTGGGGTTCGTTGCTCATGGTGTATCTGAACAGCGGGACGTCGCTCAAAGTGGGGTCCGTGATGGTTGCATGTTCCTAAACACTATATCCAAACTTCATTTTGATGTGGGACGAGTTTGAGGTTCAGATTTGTTTGGCCTCTTGACGTCGAGACTTCGATGAAGGAGTTTAATCAGGCTGTTGAGATTATGGACGTGGATCTTCGGCCGAGACAAACGAGGGCTTATGTCGACACCGAATCGCTTGCCAACTCAAGAGATCTTATGCGGACCAGGTATGGTACCTACGCCCGTCTTTATTGAAATCCAGAAAGGTTTGAGTCGACTTGTTTATGACTTCGAGAGAGGAAGGAATTGATGGTCGGTGGCGATGAGTCAATTCGGTTGACGATTTTGCGTATTATCTTGCGCAATCGTAATGCTCGATGTCTGGACCGTTCCAGGGCGGTTTGTGTTTCATAATTTGTCAAAGAGATAGATAAGAATTGGTACCGGCAGATGGTAAAGATGAAGCTGGCGATTGTAGCTTCTAATGTTAAGAGTTGGCATGTTGGAGCTGTTGGTCGTCAAATTAAGATTTCGGTAACCGATCTCCCGATATAGTACAGTATCGCGATATCGGAAACACCCGGAAGATCCCATGTGACAAGAACGTTCCTCACTTCCAGCTGGATCATTCCACTTCAAATAGCATTCCAGTCACTGAAAAGACTTTCAAACACTTAGATTATTTACTTCAATAGTGTTCTAAAATACCTATAGGTACTTATTCTTCAGAAAAGCCATCAAAACCTGACGCTTAATATATCACGTGCATCACGTGTACTAATTTATTCTAGCATTTGCCTATGCAACTCCATTCCAATGAAACCTCTTGAGGGACTACCTCTCTTCCTAAATCTAAATCTTAGCTGCCAGAACTCTCATGTACAAAAACCAAAAACCTCCGAATACCGGCATAACTTTCCCAAACCTCGGGCTAATGTAAACCTGAGCGGCGAGTTTCCATATCTCCGCTTCCCCTACTTGAAAATTACCGAGCTCTTTAATATCATTGTCGCCTAAGCTGAATTCCAGCCTGCCTATAAATCAGGTAATTACTAAGTACCGATATACATTACTAAGAGTAAGCTAAGTAGAATATTACTAAAGTATACGTTCGCCTATATTTATATAACTATAGTAAGAGATATAGTTATTACTTTATATAACTATAGTAAGAGATATAGTTATTACTTTATATAACTATAGTAAGAGATATAGTTATTACTTTATATAACTATAGTAAGAGATATAGTTATTACTTTATATAACTATAGTAAGAGATATAGTTATTACTTTATATATCTCTTGTCACGGGTCGAATGTCGCGATTCGGTTATTCTTCCTCGTGACCGCGGGACAAGTGGCTGCCTAAGCGAGCATGCATGTCCCACGCTTCAAGCAAACAAACAATGAAGGAAAAATCTTCAAGCAAACATGCCAACACACAACTCCCTNGCCTAAGCGAGCATGCATGTCCCACGCTTCAAGCAAACAAACAATGAAGGAAAAATCTTCAAGCAAACATGCCAACACACAACTCCCTCAGAAAACTCTTCAAGCAAACACGACAACACATCAAATCCCTCATCGTGGCGTGATAAGGGATGTGGGAGACGCGGGGGATAAGGAGCTGTTGGGTGTGTGGTGTTTCTGGCATAAGAACCTCGGGTTTTCTCCTCAGATAGCTCTTCTCTCCTTAGCTTTAGATTCTAAGTAGAGGAATAGCAGTATCCTTCACCGTTCCGTTACATCTCTCTCTTAGAATAAAATTATTCTAAAAACGTTATATAACTAAAATAGTTAAAGTTAACTTATAAACTATTTTATTTACTTTTAATATATATATAACGTAGTCCACAAGCGAGTTGGATTCCCAAGCGAAAAGGATTTTTTTCTTGGCATTTTATAAATTCTTAAATATCTCACGACACAATTAATTAAATTAATTACAGTATTCAGAATCGGAATCCTCACATATTTCTTCTCCTTTTGACAAGTTCGTAGGTTATGGCCAGGTTTCCCACATAGTCCACAGCGCCGGCGAGGTACTAGACTCGGGCTCGTACAATTACTATTTTCTACTAAAACCACTTGTTCTTGCGAATCAACATTACTAAGGACCCCTAAATCTTGCGCATCTTGGAGAGTAAGTGATCCTCCTTCCTGTAATCGGCGCTTTTCGTACGACGACGCCGACTAAGTTGTTCATTTGCTGTACGAAGTGTAGCATTCTCAGCTCGTAATAAGGCTACCTCAGTGATTACACGCTGTGCACCCTTTGCAAGCTGGTCTAGGCCATATAGAATCTGGGTCAGAGAACTATCTTGGTGTCGTACGACCTTGTTTTGTATATATGACGTNAAGCTACCTCAGTGATTGCACGCTGTGCACCCTTTGCAAGCTGGTCTAGGCCATATAGAATCTGGGTCGGAGAACTATCTTGGTGTCGTACGGCCTTGTTTGTATATATGACGTCTGGGAATATGCCTCTGTTATGTTATTTGGGGTCTTTGGTTCCCAAATAGCTAGGAGGCTTGTTGAGGTAGATGGACGTGACGGAGTCCTTGGACGTATATCAAGCTGTGAAATCACAGAATCTGGGTCGTACGGCACTAAGCCAGATCCTCGAAATCCTCCTCGAATGTTTGATTCAGTCATTGTCGTACGAAAGGCAGTATAGAATGTTGATAAGAAATCCTCCTTAGAAACATATGTAATGTGGAGTCGCATTAATTTCTCAAGTTCAGCACCGTACGACCTTTTTAACGCTCGAAAACATCCTACATCGAGTGGCTGGAGTCTATGAGAGGAATGAGCTGGCATGCAAAGAGTAATAATGTTATTACTCTTACAAAAAAGCTCAAAATCGACTGAGTGGTGGCTTTCATGGCCATCAAGCACAAGCAGCCGGTGAATGCCCTTCGTACGAAGCTTTGTATGCCGATCGAAATGAAAAATCCAATCTAGGGCTCGCTCATTTGTTGTCCAGCCATTTGTAGTTACAGCAATTACCCAGTCGCGTGGTAATTGGCTGTTTTCGTACCAGGAGGAGAGGTGGTTCTTCCCCGCCAAAATGATATATGGAGGCACTACAAAGCCGTACGACCCAACACCTTGAATTACTGTTGCCCATTCCCGGTTTCTTTACTGTACTGTACGAGGCCGAGAAAGCCTTTCGGTACTTGTAACAACCATTTCTGATGTAATTTGGCCCATACAAAACCCAGTCTCGTCAAAGTTATAAATATCCTCCTCCTGAATCCCATATTTGTCAATTATATTTCGTACGAGGCGAAACCACGCGTTATACGCGTCTGGATTTTCGCATTGGACTCTTTGATAATCAATCCTTCGATTAAAACGCGTCTTAAGTTCAGGTTGTCGTCGTACGAAGTTCGAAGTCCAGTTCTTGCCAACGCGTCCTGCACCCCGCTCCGAGAGGATACGATTCGCCATATCTTCAACACAACGTACTCGTGGGGGAAATGATCGAGAATCTAGGTCGAGAATATGTCGTACGATAACTATTTCTTCAATCTCTGTAAGTTTTCGAGATTTAGCGATAGAATCTTGTCGTGATAATATTCCATGAGTTCGATTAAGCAATGTCATATAAGGTACTTTATAGATCCGCGCAACCTTCTTAACTTTTAAATGTGGGTTCGTACGAAGCGTATTTAACGCAAGAATCATATCAGACTCTGTCCTATGCTTAACCATTTTGTTTGTTAAGAAAAAACGCGCTCTGAATAAGTTTGTGGAGTGCCAAGAAAAGAAATCCATTTCGCTTGGGAATCCAACTCGCTTGTGGACTACGTTAATGGTTTATAACTTAGTGTAACGAATACTCAAACTGGCTAACTAAACTTGGCTGGGTGTTCGCTGGTTGGTATGCTATGATAAGAAGAAGACTATCGGGTTGTTCACTTGGAAGTGAACTCGTTACTTGTATCAAAGATGTCAAACTAATATGATAAGATTGATAACTAAATTGAGCACGAAGCTCCTATCTAATGGCAGACGTGCCAGTCTTATATAGAACCTTCATACCCCGCGTATGGTCCGAGTATAGAGTAGTATAAGCTTTCCTTATAATTCCTTATACTCCGGTAGTATAGAGTAGTATAAGCCTCCCTTATACTTCCTCATACTCCCTAGTCACATGATCTCCTGTAAGGAAGAAATCCTTGGATCGCTTAGCTACCCTAAGCGATC